CCGCCCACTGCCTCCCTCGGGGCGGGCTGCACAGTACCAGAGGGTCAAAAGTCAGTGTGGAGGGTCAAAGGCCAGTGTGGAGGTGCGGGTGGGGAGATGGGGGGAGGGGGCTAGGAGCTGCCGAAGGAATAGTCACGAAAGACTCATGCTGGAGGGCCAGTGACTTGGGAGGAAGGACAAGGGGCCTCTGCTTCCCCCTCCTCTGCAACACCCTATCTCTATACAAATTAGAAAAAGGTGACCCTTCCTCAAGCAAACTGTCTTTTTAAGATCCTATATCATCACAGAGTCCAAACTCACCCCTTAGATGTAGCAACTGAGTCAAGAGTAGGGAAGGGTTTGGAGGGTGAGGGTACAGATGGTTAGAAACCCAGCCTCTGTGAACAGAAGGCCAGGGTGAGGCTGCCCAGAGCACTCACTCTACAGCAGTCATGCACCTGATCTCGGCCCTCTAACCTCCCGACCCTGACCCACCCACATATGCACATGGCCTTGTCCATATACAGAAGGGGGCTCTCCCTGCTGCTCTGGGACTTCAGCCTGCAGTTAACACTCAACTACTCTCCTGTAAATGTCAACGAGCCCACCACGTGAATGGACCCCTGAGATGTGGCATCCTTGTGCAATACCCAACCTGAGCGCCCCTGTGCTGCAGCCCTGCTCTGTCACGTGAGTTCCTTGCCCAAGCTCACAGGGCACTTGTAGGACAGTTTGTCATTCTCACTGTGGGGAGTCTGGGACAGGGGGGAAAACAGGTGTGGGAGCCCAAGGGATTTACCGCCTCAGCCCTGTGTCCCCTGAGAGGGCCCAGCACCAAGGAAAGACTGGCCTCTCTGGCCTACCCTCCCCAGGACTCACCTGAGAGCCGGCAGCTGCTCAGTGGCCCGGCCATAGCAGGCCCAGAGCGGGGGGCATCTGAGGGGCCCTCAGCCTCTGACTCCGTGGTTCGGGAGCCCACGTCCGAGACATCACCCTCCTCCCCCTCCGTGCTGTGTCGGCGGGGTCTGCGCTGCCAGTTCTGGATGGCCTGGCGCCGCAGGCCTGAGCTGCGAGGGGGCTGGGTACGCTCCGAGCCGCCGTTGGCAGCCTGGGCCCGTGTGCTCAAGCCCCCAGGGCCACTGTCCTCGGGGGCCCCCTCTTCTGGCCGGGGTAGCTCCAGACTGTCACTGTCATAGCAGCCTGAGCTCTGGGATGCAGCAGGGACACGGCTGGAGGCCCTGGGGTGGGGTGGACCAGACGGTGAGGAGCGAGGGGCACCAGGACTGCCCAAACTCCCCATGCCACCCCTACCACCGGCCAAGGGCAACCCACTCCCCCTACTTTCCAAGAGCCCCCTTCCAACAGTGTGGAAAGGCAGACATAGGTGACCCAAGGAATATGGGGAAAGGACAAGGAGCCAAGGCCTCAGATGGGCCAGCCATCCAGTGGGCCAGTGGATCTTTCCAGGGTGAGGGTGGGCTGTGGGGCGGGCCAGGCCCGAGGCTTACCCTGTGCTGGGAGAGGAGCCATGCCTTGACACGGCGTATGTACTAGGCATGGCCGGGCCCGCGTGGTGTTCTCGCTGTGGGCCCCCAGAGCGGGAGGGAGAGGCAGGGGGCAGAGGAGGCAAAAGGGTGAGAAGGAACGGGAGAAACAGGGCACAAGATGGAGAGAAGAGAGGAGGGAGAGGAGAGAGAAGGAAAAAAGTTGGGAAAGATGGACAAATAGACAGACAGACAGCCCAGAGAGGCAGGCTCCCCGGCCCCCTCCCCACACCCACCCAGCACCCCAGACCCCGACTTGTGGCTCCCGGGCTCTCATTTGAGTGGAGACGGGCCCCTGAGAACCGGAGCAGCTGGATCACACCTCACTGGATCGCAGCATCAGGGGCCAGCACGTCTGCCCAATCAGAGGGGCCCCTACTTCAGGCCTCCAGTCTGCTCGTGGGGAAGAGCCAAAGAAGGGAAGCATGGAGCATGACGGGGGCGGGGGGGGGGGGGGGGGGATGCCAGGCAGTGTGTGAGGTGAGGCTGCACGGGGCAGGGGCGCAAGCGGAGTGGGGAAGGCAGGCAGGCACTCACCATTCTGCCTGGACCCCGGGGTCCGGGCCCGGCACCGCTTCCCCCCGCTCCACGGCCCAGGCTGGCGCTGGGCGTGCTGCCACAGCTGCTGCTGATGACCTGCAGCTGCCTCTCGGCCCGGTCAGCCCGCTCGAGCAGCTCCTCGATGAACTGCTGCAGCCGCAGCTTGGCACTGGCCTCCCGCGCCGCCGTCTCCTTCAGGAACTGGTCGATCTGTACCACCTCCCTGGGCCCGGAGCAGTCTCTTACCCCCATGCCTCGGCCTGGCCGCCCACCCACCCTCCGGAGGGGACCCCGAGCAGTGGGGAGAGACACGGGCACAGCTGCCTGTGGTCACATGGGTGCACACGGAACAGGCCCAGGCACAATGCCCCATAGGACAGCACATACAGAAATGCGAACATCCACCCCGAGTCACACACTCACACCCCGCTGACCCAGCCCCAACACTCCTGCCAGACACCCCTCCTCCCCACCGAAACAGTCAGTCATACTCAGTGACACTCAGAGCCACCCCCTCCCTCCAGCAATGCTCACGGGCACACAGCCACGCACACTCATGTACGTGTCAAGTTCACTTGCAGGCACACACGCAGTCTGAGGCAGGCACAGTCCCAACGACACATTCCAACACACACACACACACACACACACACATTTTCAGAACCATTCTCAGACGCAGAAGCCTCCGGGAAGTGCATGTACACACAGCATGCTTCAGAGTGACTTCAGGATTCACAGTTGGTCATGCATCCACTCAACATTTACTGGGCACCTTCTAGGTGTTTGGCACTGTATTAGGGACACAGCAGTGGACAAGCCTGAGAAAAATCCCTGCCCCTGTGGAGCTTACGTCACAATGGGGACAGATAAATAACTTCCATCTACTTCGAAATTCTACATTTAAAGACCAGGGAAATAAGAAGAAGCCAGCAAAGAAAACCGAGGAGGAGCAGACAGGAAAAAAGAAGGACATTCCAGGAGAGTGTCCTGGATGCCAAGTGAAAAAGGGGTTTCAAGGTTATCACTGTGTCAACGCGGCTGAGACACTGAGATGATGACTAGTGGCCTTGGCAACATGAAAGTCGTTGGTGACACAGAGGACAGTGGTGGAGGTGGACATCTGATCAGAGTGCATTGAAGACGGAAAGTGGGGAAGGAAACTGGAGACAAGGAATATAAACAATACTTTCAAGGAGTTGTTCTGGAAGGAGAGAAAAGGGGCTGTAGCTTAAGGGGGGCAATGGGGTTAGGGCAGATGGGAGTAATGATCTTATGTCTGGATGCTTTTAGGAATGATACAGTTGACGAGGAAAGTCTGGTGATGGCAAAGGGGGAGAGCAGAACTGCGCTATGTCTTTGAGTAGGCAAAAGTAGGAAGAGGGTCTGGTGCCACAATGTAGGAGCTGGCCTTCGCTAGAGAGACAGAAAGGGAGAGAAACAATTTTCACAGCAGGCCGGTGGTCACACTTACATGTACTCACAGTCCCAAACACATACCTTCATGACACTCTTGGCCCCACCCACACCGTCATTACAGGCTTGTGGCTATAGATGCCATATTACAAAGCCATGGCCACACAGACACAAACACAGACACACTCAGGCCCAGTCACAGTGGTGGCAGCGGCAGTGACACACACGGGCACACCCGCCCACAGGGCCCTGCGGGCCACTCACTGCTGCTTGCGGCTCAGCTCCTGTTCCTTGTGCACCAGGTCCTGCTTGAGTGAGGCGAGCAGCTCCACACTCACGTCCACCTGGCGCGAGAGCTCGGAAGCACGCTCCTCCAGCTCCTCCTTCTCGCGCCCCAGCCGCGCACTCTCCTGTCGCGCCGTCTCCAGCTCTGCCGCCTTGCGTTCCAGCTCGGCTTGCAGCCGACCCACCTGGCCTGCGATCTTCTGCTCCACCTCTTCGCTCAGCCGCTCCAGCCGCCGGTCGACCTCCAGCTTCTCCAGCGCACGGATCTTGAGGCGCGCCAGGCCCTCCTCGTAAGCCACATCAGCGGGTGAGGGGGACGCGGGGGAGGCGGAGGCGGGCCCGGGTCCCGGCCCGGGCGGCGGCGTCGAGCAAGCCGAGGAGGCCACGGACTTGCGGGCGAACAGCTCCCCCAGCGGGATTTCGATCTCTCTCAGCGCGTAGCGCGCGGCGGCTGCGGGCACGAGGCCGGGCTCAGCCAGCTCCTCGCAGGGCAGGCTGGCGGGAACCAGGTCGCCGGCAAAGTGGGCGAGGGGCGCGTGATGGTGATGGTGGTGCAGCAGGTGCGGCGTAGCGGGCGACGGCCCGGCCGCCTGCTCCTTGCCCTGGAAGGACGTGCTCTCGAAG